AAGGAAGGAAGGAAGGAAGGAAGAAGGAAGGAAGGAAGGAGGGAGGAGAGGAGGGAGGAGGGAGAGGATGGAGGGAGGGAGAAATGTATGAATGTTCATAGCAACACTATTCATAATAGCCAAAAAGTGGAAACAACCTAAATATCAATCAAGTTATGAATTCTGAAAATAAAATATATCCATACAATGGAATATTATTCAACAATAAAAAGGAATGGAATACTGATGCATGCTACAACATCGATGAACCTTGAAAATATTATATAAATTGAAAGAATCCAGTCACAAAAACTCTTATTATATGATTCTTCATATGAAAAGTCCAGAACAAGCAAAGAGGTATAGGTAGATTAGCTATTATCTAGGCTAGGGATTAGAGGAGGGATAGGAATGAAGAATCAGTGTAATAAGTGGGGAATTTCTTTTCGGCATGAAGAAGTTGTTCTAAAATTAAATTGTATTCACGGTTACACAATTCTGTGAATATACTAACAATCAGTGAACTACAAACTTTAAATTGGCTAATTTTATGGTATATGAATTATATCTCAATGCTATTAGAAAAAAAAAAAAAGCATCAGCAAAGCAAGCCCCCCAAAATGGAAGAAAACTATTATGCAAAAACTCAGAGGAATAGTTTAAAAACTCTCAATGTTTTTTTAAAAATGGAATGAATGAGTAGTAAATAGTGTCATAAACCCTGCTTCAGCATAAGAGATCCTATGCTCATCCATTAGTCCAATTCATCAAATTATGTTACTTAAAGTATTTGAAAGGAAAATGGAAGTTCAGAAAGCATGTCACTAAGACAGTGTCAATGGTGGTAAGGATTTGACTTAATGAGAAAGTCCATTTGGTGTTTGGCACTTGGTATTTTTAGAGAAGAATTTCATGCAAGAAAACTCTGATGGCTTTAGCATATGACATGTTGCTAAAATGCTGAGTAGTAAAGTTTTCATACACAGGGTTCTTTCTTTTCAGAAATAAATAGACCCAAATTTCCATTTCCATCATTTTTGTGATGGGAGGTAGCCCTCTGACAACTTGATTGAGTTCAGGACCGTAAAGGACAAAGGGAAGAAAACCTGAAAAATGAAAGCCTTTTCGGCTTCTGAGAATCATTTTCTATCTAAGTTCAATATTGAGTCTCTAAGAGATTGTGATAAGCCACCAGTGATCCATTCATAATGGGCAAGCATTGGCCTTAGTATGCAAAGGGGATTCCCAGTTCAATTTAGTTTCCAGGATACATTAGAATACTGCAGATCTAGCCCTACAACAAATCCATCAGCTTTTGTAGTGTTTCCAGAAGAGTTTTCAAGAACAGCAAGGTCAAGTTGAAAGTAGCCTCACCATGAGAAATAAATATAAGCAGGAAAATTGGGAGGATATGTAGATATATAATCTGAATATGAAATAAGCTGATTTGTATCCCCTGATTATAGCATTTGCTCTCTCACCTCACTCTTGCATCAACTTTTGACCTAGGTCTGTAAGTTCTTCCTCAGACAAAAGGTTAAAATAATAAATCCATTCAATTTCCATTACTCTAAATGACCCTAAATCCTTTCTCCAAACTTGTACTGACAATTTACACCTGGGACTCATTTATCATGTTACTTGATACATTATGAAAATGACTGGGTTACAGATTTGTATAGAAATCAATTCCATAATTCAGATCATTTCTGTGGTAGCACAGAACAAGATAAGACATGTCTCTAATCCACAGCAGAACAATGCACAAAAGAAAAACTATCAATGGTCACCAAAACTGCCCCAACTTATAAATGATGATGAGAATAATAACAGTCAACATTTATTGGGCACTCACTATATGTCATGCCTTGTCATAAGGTCTGTAGAAGTTAATCCTCACAATAACCTTAGGACCTAGGATGACACATAAATCAGGAAACTGAGGCATACAGGGTTTCAATGAATTGTTCATGTTACTCAGTAAGTTTTGAAGACAGGATTCCAAATGGAACAGCTGCGCATGAAAGCCTAAAGTTCTTAACCACTGTGTCTAGCCCTGTGTATTGAGAGCAGATGGTGTCGATTTCAATAGAATAATGTTAATTTATTTTTTAAAACATATCATTTTCAAACAGCTAAAGGTCATCCTATGCCATTTGCATTTTCATGGAGAAATCACAGAGTAAGCTATATATATATATATATATATATATACACACATATATACATTAATATATATAGTGAGCATATATATTCCATGTGAGACATATTATTCAAATACATATGCAATTGAAAAACAATCAAATTTGTGTACCTTAATTACTTAGTGGAAACAAATGAATATATAACTCATAGTGGTTAAAGCACTTAATGGAGAGGAAAGAAATTTAATTTTTATTTGTCTTATTGAACTTTAGTTTCCTCATCTACAAAGGAGAGATGTAGAAGATTTGACTTCCATTACTCCTTAGAATATAATGGCTATAAAATTATTTTTATGAACTATTTCAATAGCCTCCAAACATATCTTTACCCATTTTTCTAAGAGGCTATTTATTTCTTTTTCTTGCATATTTATAGTAGTATGTAATATATTAAACACTAGAAATATTTGTGATATGTGTTAAATATATTTATTTCCAATTTTATTATTTTTTTATTTATGTTGTGCTTTTTTGCCATTTAGAAATTTAAATAATTTTATATAGTCAAGTTTATCAGTTTAAGTCTTCTGGTCTTCCTACATTATATTTCAACAGATATTTCAAACATAAAATACAGAAATAAATTACTATCTTTTATTCTATTTTATGGGTTGAATGTTTTAAACATTTTAGTCTTTTGCACATTCAGAACTTTTGATACGATATGTAAATTAATTATAAATCTACCTTTCTTTCAGATCATCAGCCAGTTATCTCAATAACATTTATTGAAGTTTCTACGTCCCTCCCAACTCATTACCATTAAGTATATATGACATTAGTCATAACTTACATTCCCAAATGAACTTAGATCATTTTATAAACCCTTTATTCTGTCCTATGGTACTGTCCATTTATCCATGCACCAATATCATAGTGACCAGTAAACATAACAAAAGATCTTTAACCTTTCTAGTGGTAAAAGGAAAACAAATTAAGGTAATGGTGAGCTTTTTTCTTATCTATAGATTAGATAAAGATGTATAATTTCAATGATACAAATGTTGGTCAAAACAAGTCATGCCAAAAATTTTGACGAAACTAAAAATTATCTTTATACAAGCAGGCAGCATCTATAAATATTTGAAATGTGAATACTCTTTAACTTCAGAGTGAGGTTCCCTGGGGATTCCTGAGACCCTTTCAAGGGATTTGGGAGGTCAAATTGCTTTTCTTCATAATACTAAGCCATCATTTGCCTTTTTCTGCTGTGTAGACATTTGCGTTCATGGTTCAAAAGCAATGATGGTAAAATGGCTGTCATTTTAGTGGAAATAAAGGTAGTGGCAACAAATTATACTAACAGTCACTTTCTTTCTCTATCATGCACACACACACACACACACACACACACACACACGCAGTTTCACTCATAATGTCCTTGATGAAGTACTAAATATTATTGATTTTATTAAGAGTTGACTCTGGCGTACACATTTGTTGTAATATTTTATGTGATGAAATATAAGGTGCAGGTTAAGCACTTCTGTTGCCTGCTGTAGTATGATGCTTGCTTTGAAAACAGAGCACTTGTATTAGGTGAACTAGCCCTTTATTTCATGGAACATCATTTTTACTAGAAAGAATGAATGACAGACTATGATTATTCAGACTTGAATACCAGCGAGATGACGTTTTCTAAAATGAACAAAGTGAGTCTGTCGCTTCAAGGAAAATAACTGACGCTATTTGTTGCCAATGATAAAATTTGAGCTTTCAAGCAAAAATCAGAATTTTGAAAAATTATATCCATCACCAAGAACTTGACAGCTTCTCAGTAAAGACTTTTCTGTAGTGAAATTAATAAGTGTGATTTTTTTCTTGTATTATTTAACAAAGCAGTAAACATTTTATTAACTCAGGAAACCAATATTGTCCAAATGATCCATGCATGGGTGAAAGGACATTCCAAGTGCAAAACACACGAACAGATTTTAAAGTAACTGAATATGAAAAATGAATTTGATTTCAGATTTCACATTGCAATTAACCTTTAAGAAACATTTATTTGTCAAGTTTTAGTGCAGCATCAAAGAAGAGCACCACAATTTTCTGAAAAGGCAACTAAAATATCCCTATTTTCCAACTTCCCATCTGTTGAAGCTGAATTTTCTTAATCTACCTCCCTAACATTGCAATACATTGAATGTAGAAGTAGATAACAGAATTCAACTGTCTTCTATTAAGTCAGACATTGAAAGGATTTGCAAATGTTTAAATGATGCCACTCTTCTCAATATTTTTTAAGTAGTTTATTTTAACATGTGTGAGATTTGTTTTTACTTTAAATAATAAACCAATCCATAAATATTTTTAAAATTTCTAAAGTGGCAAATATTGATAGTTACACCCTACATTTTAAAAGACTCTTTGCTATCCTCAATGACAGGCTAACTCAATAACTTATAAAACTGCAAAGGGGTCCTGAGACCAAAAAATTTAAGGACTACCAATTAGAAAATCCACTAATAAAAATCACCCTGGATTGGCACACAAAATCACTAATGAACTAGTAACTCTTTTTCTTAATGGAAATTGTTACTGACAGTATCCTAATCCTACTTCACAGTTCTATTTTGGGAACAAGGAAAAGATACCTTTTGTTTTATAGTTGACGAGAACCAGAAGATACCTTGGGATAAAATAAATGAGTATATTCCTCATGTAGGGACATTTTGCCAAAGGGTAATTTCAGAGGCTACCAGTTGTCTCTCAATATCTACAAGATACTTCCCAGTATCTCACTTTCTTCTCAGTAATAAAACCCATACATTTAATCTGGGCAAATGAACTGCCAAAATTATATTATTCACTAACCATTTTTGAAGTTAGATTTAACCAGAAAAATGCAAGCAAGATCATAGCATAACTTCTCTGAAGTCTGGAATGTGGATGTAATTTCTGGAACTGGAATGTGGATGTAATTTCTGGAACTGGAACAGTTACCTTACAAAATAAGGTGGAAACCACATGTTAAAAATGACAGAACACAGAAAGAACTCAGATCCCTAAGGATAAAAGGGCTGCACTATTCACTATAGTCTGCCAATATTTTTGTGAGAAGGAAGCTAATTCTGTCCTGAATAAACTACCATAATTTGAGATTTTGTTCTTATGATTGACCCTAATTTTAACTAAGAAGTGACTCAGCAGTCCTGCTAGAGAACTGGAACTGTATTTTATTTATTTGTTTGTTCTCTTTTTCTAATGTCAATGCTATCATGCCCCATTATGTTACTGATGGAATTTCTCAAGGTACATTATGTTGGGGCTCAGGAAATGATATCCCAAAGCCTGGCACTTTGGCATGCTGAGAGCTCTGAACTAAAGTAGAACCAAGATCCCTCTGATCTCCTCCTACCCTCCTGTCTCTCACCCAGCTTTCTGCCTTGAAGTGCATGAAGGAGCTTTCTCTGAAGTTCCTATCTGTCTAAAGATAAATCCTTCACAAAGGAACTCAATTGTCATGAACCTCCTCGCTCGCTGAGAATCTCATCAACCAGGGAAGAGTAGCTCACAGATGAGGAGACACTATACCCAGCTAGATTTGCCACAAACTTATCTATTCTTCTGATGGGCTCCTCAAACATGACTTTCATTACCTGAGGAATCTTTATCTTCACAATAAGACAACCTTTGTTTGTGGTGCATTTCCTCCCCTCACCTTCCCATAACTGGAGTCACTCCCATCCCACCCAAGAGCCGATTCCTTTCTGTAGCGCGGAATCCTATATAACCCCAATCATCTGGCCCTTCCTTGAATCTCATGTGTTGTGGAGCTCCCATGCATATGCACTTAATTAAAATGATTTTTCTCCTATTAATCTGTTTACTGTCAGTTTATTTCATAGACTCAATCATCAAACCTTCAGAAGAAAGATTTTCTCTCCCCTACAATTGCTATTAAAGGTGAGAGTGGTCACTCACTACTTTTTTTTTTTTTTTGGAATATTTGGTAATTCTATTTCTAAAGCACATATGCATACAAAGCTACTGATATTGTTTAACTGGTTGAAAGGTTTTAGAATTAATTCACACTCTTAATTCACACACACACACACACACAGAGTACATTATTTTGCTTGTATAAATGAAGAAAAAATCTTTATAAATTAATGATCATTCATTACTCTAGTTGTACCTAAACTAAGATGACTAACACAGCAAATGGGTATTATTTCTTCACCATAGAACCATAAAATATTTTATTAGAGTATATTTTAGTAAATCACAATCCAACTCATTCTTCTTTATAGATGAAGATATTAAGAGCCACAAGGAGAAAACCACATGATCACAAGATTATTTCTAAATCAGTGACACCAGAACACCAATTATTAATTCTCTAGCATATTCTGTATTACCAGTAAGAGCTACTTCATGAGAACTGAACTCAGACTTTTTTCTTTTTCCCAAACTCTTTTCTAAGAGGTCTGGTGAGTCATGCCTACAAACAATGAAATCTCACTAAACAGGTTTTGCTACCCGGATATAATGTGGTTTACTTCCCAACCTGAGTCTGTTATAGCATCGCATGAAATATACTAATAGAAGGCCCCTTTTTCTTAACTCAAGCATCCTAGCAGACTTAATTCAAGTATTCCCTTCCACTGTCTCCAGGTCTTTAGACAAATCTTAACTCTTTCCGCCAATTGTTAACTAAAGAATCCCTAAAATCCACTTCTTACTTCTAAGTCCCCACTTCAAGATATCCCACCCTTTTGGGCCAAACCAATGTACTGATTTATGACTTTACATATATCTCCTGTCTCCCTAAAATGATTAAAACCAACTGTAACCCATCCATGGCTTGAAAACCACTTGTTCAAGTCTTCCTGGGTATGGCTTCTCCAGGCCACGGTCACAGATACTCCATACTCAGTTCAGAATAAACCTTTTTAAATTATTTTGCAATTTGGATTCTTTCATCCACATTCATCAGCTTGTGATACGGAATGAATGGCAATTTTCTTTCTTAACTTAATGAATCAAGACCCTACTTCCTTTATTAGCAGAAAGGCCAACAACAGCTTTCCTTCCAAATTGCTGTAGAACTCCATGATCATATTTAGTTCAAAGTGGTAGTCAGAAGAAAGGACTTGATCAACTCACTCACCAATGCCACTTTTTTCTCTCTTTTCTCTTCGACACACAGATGCTTTCTTTGACATATTCCTTGTCCATAGGATTTTAACCATATCGGTTTATTGAAAAACACTGTACAAGTTGATGGAAAATCATATCTGAAAATGAAAATTCATATTATACCTAGTAAACCATAAGAAGTAATTCTATTTCTTTTTATTAAATGAAAACTTAGTTCTGTCATTGATTCTTCCTTAACAATTAGATAAAAAAGAAATTCAGATTTTGCTTTAGGCTGACTTAGGAATCTTTGGAACATTCTGAGATCTATCTTCTCTAACTCCCCTAAATGATGACTTTTAAGAGATTGCTTTACAAAAAAACCTACTTATGCACACAATCCTTTTAGTAGATGGCAGTTAGACTTTAATTTAATTCATTGTATCTCTGCCCACTACATTGATCTTTTGTCTATTCCTTTGCAAGTTAACTTATTGTGATATTTTATGTCATGTATCTCTATAAGAATTTAATTAAATTGATATATTAACTGTGCTGTAATTGCCACTGAAGTATTGTAAATGTCAGGCTACTTTGCTCTCATCCCAGATCATGACTGGGAAAAAGATGCTGCAATTCAGATTTTTTTTCATCAAGAAATGTATACAAAAATAAATATCCCAGAGATATCCATTTTGACTCAGGATCTAGAATTAGAATTTTACCTTTTTAAGACAGAAATGATAAATACTTTACAAAATACTTGATTAATAACCTGTAAACATTTCCTTCAAATTTTTCTAAATGTTTGGTGCTTTTCTGTATTCATGACTTGATCATTGATAAATTGTCTGTCAGTATTAATAGTACTTTTTTGCTCTAATTTATTCAGCTTTTTTTTAAAAAAACATAGATTGGTTTCATTTCAGTTTTAGCTGAGAAAATTATTTTCAAAATCTCCAAATAATTTACTTTAAATGTTCCATATTACATGTAATTAATATAAAATTCTAATAAAAATAAAATACCTGATTCAGCAAAGTTATCTGAACACACAGTAGCTATGATTATATACTTTGAGGTGTTTATCAATGCAGTAGCATAGATACAATATAATGAAATTCTAACTGGGCAGAGTAATTAAGATGATTAAACTTGCATTTATTAAGACAGAGCATGTTCACACACTGTTAATGCTTTCCCTAAAACAGCATTTTTTCTTGCTTAATAAACACAAATTTAAATATTTTGAATGTTTAATATTTTATCTTATACAAAATTCATACTATTACATACCTTCACAATCAGATACAAAAATAAAATCAAATTAGGCAGTAAGTCAAAATAGTTTGAATCAACTGCCTACATCAAGGTATGACATTATTATAACCAAAAATCAACTTCTTTCCAAAAATAGATGGCATACAAGGAAGGATTATGGGCACTCATAAGCATTCATATATATAAAGTTTTAACTAACTTTTTAATGGATTAAAATAATTTAATGTCCTAAAATTCCAGTTAGTTGGCATTTTCCTGTTCAACCTTATAACTGGTCTTATGAATCTCATTACATTTTCTCTATCTCAACACCCAAAAATAGTATAACATGTAGTGTCATAAATAAGTATTTGAGGGTAAATTAAATACTGGATTGATGATTAAGTGCTAAAAATACATTTTTATGTTTGACATTTTATAAGAAAGTCTATTATATAAGTAGAAATCTAATGTTTAAATTATTTTAAAAATCTTTTGGTAACTTTTAATAAGCTTCATCATTTAGAATAGTTTTAGATTTACAGAATAATTGCAAAGATAGTACAAAGTGTCTATTTTTCCCACATCCAGTTTTCTCTATTGTTAATGTCTTACATTAGTGTGGTCACAATTAATAAACCAATATTGAAACATTGTTGTTAACTTCTGTCCAGTTAATCTGAACTTTATTCAGATTTCCTCATTTTTACCTAATGTCCTTTTCCATTCCAAGATCTCCTCAAGTCTATCAAATTAGTATCTCTCCTCATATCTTAAGCTTCTCCTGGCAGTTTCTCAGACATTTCTTGTTTTGTAAGACCTTGAACGGTTTGGGGAATATTTTGCAGGCCTTTTGCATAATATCCCTCCATAGATATTTGTTTGATGTTTTTCTCATGATTAGACTAGGGTTACAGGTTTGGGAAAACCACAGAATAAAAGTGCCATTTCCATCACATCATATCAAGGGTAGGTCCAATCAATGTGGTTTGACATTGTTGATATTGACCATGATTACCTGGCTTGGGTAGTGTTTTGTCAGTTTTCTCCACTGTGGTTACTGTGTTTCCCCATTTCATTCTATACTCCTGGAAAGGAAGTCACTCTGAGCAGTCCCCACTGAAGGAGTTGGCAGTTAAGTCCTACCTACTTGAAGACTGGGCATGGAAAATGTGTCTGTTCTCCCCTGTTTATTTATATATTTATTCAATCATTTATTCATATAGATAGAGAGGAAAATCTAATTTTAAATTCATAACATCCAGTACTAATAATAACTATTAAATATGGAAGGATCATTCAGAAATCCTTGTGTTTAAAAAGACCATATGATTTTTAAGTTCTACATATAGTTTGCCAAGTTGCCTCTTGTACTGTTACATACTAATGATACATTATTTTTAAAGTCTTAGGTTCCCTTTTCTTTTATTTCCCACTTCATTTTTGAAGAACATACATCTTTAGCAATAAATCAAGCAAAACAAAAAATCTATCCTCAGTTCTTCTTTGGAACTCTTTAGGAAAAGCCAGATGAATAAAGGCAGTTTTACCTAAGAGTAACTTTTCATTTTCTCTCTTTCTGACCAGTTTTTCTCCCTCATTCACTAAAACTATGTTTTCTTTATTTATTATTTTATTTATGGGTCACTTAACGTGTGTTCAGAGTTCAGGGTAATGAGCAAGTTTGCTGTTTGTTTGTCATATAACACTTACTATGATTCACTTTGGTTCCTTAGTAGAATTGACCTTGTCCATTTGTTTCAAATGGTCCAATATTGTTGGAATAGTAACGTAAAAATCTTGCTGCTAATTCACCTGTAGGTTGAGATGGATTTGCTTTCACTACGGCTTTCAGCTCATCATTATCTACCTTGATCTCAGATGGTCCACATGGCTTATTTTCAAGATTAAAACTTCTCAACCAATGAGATGCCATGCGTTCATTAGCCACATCCTTCAGAAAAACTCCATTGATATTTGGAGTTGTCCGTGCTGCATTGATTCCGTGACAGAATTCATACTCAAAAATAACATGAGTTTTTGACTTATCCATGGTTTCACAAAAATTGCTCTAAAATTTTTTTGAAAGATAATCATAAGCCAAAATGTGCATTTGAAAGACTGAGGATGTACCTTCTCAATAAAAATAAAAGAAGAAGTATCAAAATGAATATCTGAGTTAGCAATTGTCAAAACTTAGTACATGAGGAAAATGGACATTTCATACTTAATAACGTAATACATTCTCAAGTTAACCTATGTTTAAATAAAGATTTCCTAAGACATTCTGTTTTGAAGGCATGCACATAGGTTAATTTGTTTCTTTTTTAAAAAAGAGGCAGTCTTGAATCAGGATATGATTTAAAAATGTAATATCTGTCTACTTAAATGCTGACAGTTATTTCATATTAAGATTTTTGCATAGTTTATCCCTAGTTACAACTGCAAAGAGAGAGCACTTTGCTCAGAGAACAAAGCCTGTAATTCGATGGGGCAGAAGAGAGACAGCAAGTTGACATCTGTGAATTATGCAAATGAAGGAATAGAGAAGCTAATAAGCAACCCCTATTCAGATGGAAAAGGGGAGTGGGAGGAAGACTCTGCTCTGATAATTATTAAAGTTGGGAGGGCATTTACTCCCGTGGGGCGGACTCAATCCTCAGGGAGGGCTAGTTTGTTTTGGCTTGCCTCCTCAAGTGGAAATTTAAGTGTGAATTAAAAACTGGCATGCTGAGATGGAGGAACAGCATCTTCCCTTTTTGCCAAAGAGTAGCATTAAGTAGAGGGCAGCGTGCCGTTGATTTTGAAGCTCCAGTGTGCTTTTTACACTGTCAAGGTGCATAGCAAGTAGTGTAGTGCTGTTTACAACAGGAACTTTATGAATAACATAAATAAATAGAGTGTCTGCCCTGCTGGTCCTTTAACTTGGCAGAATGTTGCCACCTGCTCCTTGGTATCTTTGATTAACACTAAAATAAAGTCCTTATTAAGAAATAAAAACAGCAAATATATTCTCAAAGGAAACATTTACACACATGGAAAGCTTATTGTGCATATGTCAAATTTCTTTCTCAGCTAATATATGTAATGTTCATAGCATTTTGGAGATTTGAAGGATGTCACACTAATGAAATCTTTATGACAAGTGCTATGTTTCATGCTGCAGTTTGACAAACTGGAATGCAATAGGGTTATGAGAAAATGAGGCAGTTCAAAGTAGATAATAATTCTGGATAGTACTATAAGAATAGCAAAGCCATATTCCTGGAAACTTATGCCTATCCTATATGCACAAGACACTGAATTTATAGACCAGGTGACATTGAAATATTCCACCGATGACCTGTACAATGTAATAAAAATAATGCTTACTGAGTTCCTAGAATCAATGAAAAATCAGGACTGAGCTTTTGGAATTACTGATTCAAAATCTAAGTGGCATTTGTGAAAGTTAAGAGACAAATGGGATGTTTTTCTGTAAAGATATGTTGAAAAATCAAACCTTTAACATAAGATAGGAGATGAAAGAAAAGAAAAAGGGAAATATAATTACTATTTGAAGTACCTAATACGTGTCAAGCAAAAAGGACTTTCTACATGCTATTTCCAATCTTCACAACATCAATAGTAGTAAAGAGTGACTCAGAAAAGAAGTTAATTCACCCAAGAACGGGCAATATTCCAACTCGGTTGAGTCTGACCTCACATTTATTTCAGAACTTACTTGATTATGCTTTTCGTAAAAATTCAACTCTATTTCCTCAGCAAAACAATTCAGTAAGTAAGAACACATTAAATATCAAAATAGTGAAACTGTTTTTCCACTATCTTTAGTGGAATCAGAGTTTTGATTCTTCACAGTGCTTAGTTCTAATTTCAGCAGTTCAGAAAAGTATAG